TACAAAGGAGGGACCACAAAGACTCATCCTAGAGAGAGTAGTACAGCAGCAGACAGCAGATGTAAGACAGGAACAGTGTTCTTTACAGAATTTAAAAAGAAAACCCCCAACAACACTAAACAAGGGATACCAATCTTCAGTTTTACTTGTAAAAACAAGTGTGGCAGGGGGGCTATAGGCATGAAAGACTGATCCATGATTTGCAAACAAATCCATGTGTCTCTATTTCTACCTGGAACACTTTAAGGGTGCATCTTTAGCCAAGATGCAGTAGTTAACCACAAAGGTAAGTAAAGTAAAACCACTCACTCAACCCTGGAAAGCAACACCTTCAAATAAGGATTATATGTTCCCCATGAAGAGGCAGAAGCCTAACACAGAAAGCCCTCAATCTAAGAAGAGGGAGTTTGCTGTAGGGAAGCCAATGCATCCCCAGGAGTCAAAGTTTTAAGAAAGTTGTGGCTTGTTTATGTCCCCCTTCTAGATCATGAATGCAGCCAGGGAAGAGCACAAGTAAAACCAAACGGTGTAGCATACCACCAGGGACGTGCTAGTCTCCTCATACTGCTTGGACAGCCAGCAAGCCCCAAGGCCCCTAAGCCAGGGCATCCTGATGAGCAGCGACCTCCCACAATACTTCAGTACCATGTCCCACGTCCCAGCTAAGAAGCAAAGAGCAGCCTCCCTTGCCAGAGATCCCTTTAGATCCCAATAAAGTTGCACTAGCCATAATAGCTTTGTTTTACGTATTCCATGTAATATAATATTGGAAATTGGTCTGCAGTTATGTAATTGCAAAGGAAATGGCTATGGTCCTGCTCAGCCCAGCTGAAAAAAATGTCCCCACAGTGTTTCCACCACAGACATGGTTCTCAGGGGCTGCAAGGGAAGAGCACCCGTTCTGTCTGTGAGCAGAGCAGCAGCAGAGGCAGAGGTGCTTGGGACTACGCTTATACTTCACCATCTGTCAGGTTTTCCATTGCAAACACTGCCGCCACAGTTTATAGCTTGACCATTTCCAGCCACATCCACACAAAACTTGGCAGAGAGAGAGCTGCTCTGGCCCAATCCCTCCCCCTTCTACCTTAAAGAAATCTGTGTCAGATTCCTGCTTTAAAGACTCAACATTTCTTTTCTGCAGCAGAAATACATTTTTAAGTCATTCCACAAGGCTTTATTTTTGATTTTTTGTTAAGGTTTAAAAGAAGCCTGTGTACTTGACAGACAAGATTTGTCAACTAAACTTGTCAAAATCAATGTCAGCTACTCATGTTGTTATTCTGAAACAGCTCAGAAATGCTGAGTGCAGGTTGGTTACACAGTGCCTTTAAACAAATCACAGTCACTTCTAGCAAGGAAAATGAGCTCTGTAACTGCAACCTGTTCCCAAATACCACCTGTAGAGAATGTAAACCTCTGGGTTTCTCCTGATGTATTTGTGACCATTGCTACCTGCAGATTTTCCTCATCAGCTACAGAGGAGAGAAAGATCCACCAGATACAGCAGACACGTTGTGGGTCCTCTGCTCATGGAACCAGAATTAAGGTCTGAAGGACAATTTTTGTTAAGCCAAGATAGGCATTCACTGCAAAACCCAAGTACCAAAGTCTGAGAACTTACTAAATAATTTGTTCTTTAGTATGGAAACCCTACAGATTTCTTTCAGTCTAGCAACGTTTGCTTCCTGGCAAGTGCAGCAAGCCAGGTTACAGTGACCCATGGGCTTCATAAGAGATGAAGGTTTTCAGAAATTATTCACCACACATGCTACAATTACCTTGCTTTTAAGTCATAAAACCGAGCAGAAATTTCAGCTCCAAATGATGTCCAAGTTGTTAATTTTATTGGCACAATAATGAAGATAATCTTACCCAACTCTTCTAGTTAAAGGAAACCAAGCATGAGACAAGGCCCCACCAAGTGGGCTTGCACATGTCTGCCTACGAGACATCTTAAACACCATCTCCTATACAGGAAAAGTAACTGACTAATTCTAAACAAACTTAAGTTAACATAGCTTGAAGACAGCCAAGTAGGACTTGAATAAATCACACACCAAATTCCCTCCTCCTGCCCTATACACTGGCTTTGAAAGTACAGCTTACTTCCTTTCAGGGGGGTACACAACTTGGAGGCAACCATCAGAGGAGATGGTAAATCTAGCTCAGGCCCTAGAATTGTTTGGAAGAAAACATCCAGCAGGACATGAAACAGGCACCATTGCTCTGAAATGAGTTTTGAGCTCCCCATGTGAAAAGCATAGGGCCGTTTGATGAGTAAGGGGAAGGTGTTTTTTTCCCTACAAAGCCACGCAACAGAACCAAGTCCAGGTTTTCCCCACTCCAGGGAACAGAAGAACTTTTAAAGTGTCCCTAGGCATTACCAAGCAACCCTATTCAAAGGGTTTTCAAATCCAACTACCTCAAAGTACAGTTATAAAACCCAGATCGGACATATGATATGCTATATGCATGCTTACACACAAGGAAGTTTCAGGTATTGGCCTAGCAGCACACCCAATACATACTGTCCAGTCTGATGGGACTTCTCAGCCATGCAGATAACATACTTCCTTCCTTTCACTAAGGAAACTTCCTGCTGCAGGTGAAGTATGTAACACCTTACATTACCTTTGTCTGTCTGCATCAGGAGAAGAATGAGCTTAATTTATACAAACAGTTTCGCAACACTTGCCAACATAAACATGCAGTCAGATGAAAGACTACATGTGTGCACAGTCCAATAATCTATTTTCTTGAAAAGTACATCCCCATTTTCTTAGAAGTTATAACCACATTTTCTAGGCTTGCTTGCCTCACTAGACGGATACCCAAATTCAAACAATAGCCCATGAGTTTTGAAAGCTGGCACTTGAGAAACTTCCGCTAGTTACATTACATGCCCTTCATAGGTTCAGCAATAGCTGAAGAAGACAAGAAGTCATAGTATTAAAGTCATCCCTGTGGTGCCCCTAACCTACGATAGAGCAAGAGTGTGTTCGGACTCCTTGGAACAACTTAAACATGATTTCCCTGCCAGAATAGTTTAGACAAGCATCCAAGCAAACAATGCTCTCTCCATGACCAATCTGTGACTTATGTTTGTTTGGTTTTTTTTTAAAATGTATCTATATCTTCATTTTATACATACACACACACATATATGTAAATATATATGTAGGCAAGATCACAGCATTGATCTCAGGACTTCACATTTCCTTTCTTGTTTACATGATCATTAAAAAATCTGGCTGCTAAGAATCAGAATATGGCCTTAAGAACTGTAATCCAAGTTGAAGGATGCTTCCTTAGAAGAATCACATTTCTGGATCCACTAAATTCAAACCCTGACACTCTCCATTTATATCTCCACATACTATGTGGCTCAATACAATACAATGTGAACTATGCAAGGCAGAGAAGCCACATTAAAAGAAAACACAAAAGCACTGTAATTTAGAATTCAGACACTTCTTGCATTATTTAACAGCCCAATTCCCTTGGCTCCATAAGCCATTATCCAAGACAGGGACATCATGGGTATGAATACAAGTTGCCACAATAACCAGCCCTGTTCTGACAACAGTAATACCCACTATTGACAGTGAGGAGCCCTCAGGCTTGGAAGGGAGGATGCTTGTCCAGCAGCCCAGAAACAGTTTAAGAAGTCAAGACATTTTTCCCCCTTCACTCATAACGGTTGCTTTAAAATGGGGCAGATGAGCATTTTGGCCTCTACCAGTTTCATGAGTGATACAGTCAGTACCCAGGAAACAGGCATTTCTGTTCACCCTAGCCAGTGCATTTCCACACACTATCCTTTTGGACACCACACTAAATCAGAGGACAGCAAACTGGCTGTATCACTTTGAGCCAAACAAGCATTAGGCTTTCATACAGCAGAGAAATCACCACTCAATTGAAAGGGAAAAATACAATGCACGGTTATTCACAGCGATGACCAGACTCAGAGCTTTGGAAGCCGGATCTGATCAGGGTGACCTGGTTCCCTCAAGCTCTGGCATGCCCAGCTTCCTCCAGAGCCAGCAAGTTATGGGAGCCCTGCATGTGGAGCTACCACAACATGAGCCTTTGCTAAAGCATCTCCAAATGCTGCAGGTCCTCTGGATGAGGACATGCAAGTCACAAGTGGACTAGAAACCAGTCCTGGACAAATGCTTTGCATTAATACACAAGAAGCACTGAAGGGGAGGAGGAGGAGCTGCTGAAGACAGGCAGTTATTCAAACCAGCTGCTAACCCACTCCAGCCACTCACACATACACAGCCTCCCACATTTGTTCAGCCTGACTCAAAACTACCGGGCATCCAAGAGTTAAAGTACACAAAAGACATCTATACGAACACTTGCCAAAAAATCTCATTTTCCAAGTGCAAGCTGGTTGTTCCATGGATGGCACAAGAGATTTCATCTCGCTTTTACATGATAGCCTCTGCCTCCTCACATCAAAATTCTCCAGTTAACAGTTCTGCAACAAGTTTTGAAACTGTGCATGGCCACGTATATATCGACGCACATTCTCTCCCCTCCCTACCGAGCTCTGGGCCAGGGGCTAAGCTGTCAAGCCAAGTTTCATCCCAAGTAATTTTTAAACACTCATCCTATAAATCCTCTGAAAAGGGAGTTAGTAATGGAAATGCTGACACAGACTTGAAGAGACAGGAGGGCAACTATATCAGTGTAATATACATCAGCTTCATTAGCTGCAGATCCTTCTCTCCTTCACCTTCATTTTCCATTATCGTATCCTGGCTAATTAACGCACAAAACCTATGAAACATTCTTACAGTAGAAGGCAACATTTGGCCCCCAGCCCAAATCAACATTGAGAAACTTCAGCGTCCGCAGCCAGACATAGTAACCGAACCAGATGGAGCTAACGTACAGCCACAAGTAGTGATGAGGAAACCGAAAGAAGAGGAACACATGCAAAAAAACCCGGACCATTGGATGAGTGAAAAGCAGAAAACGTGTCTTACCGCTTTCATTTTTCTCTATGACATCCACGACCTCTCCAGCCTGGAGGCTGATCTCAGAGTTCTCCTGTTTCTCATAGTTGGACACCACCACATATTGCTCCAGGATCATGGGTTCAGAGCTAGCATCAGCACCTGGGGAAGGGAAAAAGCAAGCCGTAAGCCAGCTTCCAGCCATGGTTCCTTGAGAGCGACCTCCGTCCATCCGATTCACAACAGGCCAAGTTGTCACCAGAGCCAAGCGAATCAGCAAACAACCCTGGCTCACAGCATATCCCCAAATGGCTGGCCATATAGAAACAGCCTCCTCTGGCCCACAACCCAGCAGCACAGAGGGACATTGGAGAGAAGAAGAAATAAAAAAGGGGAGCGGAAAAAAAAACAAAAAAACAAAAAAGAGCCAAAAACCAGTGAATTAGCTGCAAAGTTTCACGATGGATTCTGAAAATAAACCTCTTCCCAACATGGTTTCCACAATCCTTGCTCCCATTCAGAGAGAAAAGTTCTGGGCTGAAGCAGCATAAATCCACAGCTGAGCCATTCCCCCCAGTGAACCCAAAGAACAAACAGCTCTCCCCTTGGCGGCTCAGCTCCTTCTCCACTCTAAAGGCTTGAGCTGCAAGTCAAGAGGGGGCTGTAGATGCCAATCATATTCGTCTGCACTGCAGCCCTTAAATAGAAACACATGAGCAGGACTGAAGGAGAGGGAGGTGGGGTGGAGGGAGAGAGGGGAGGGCGGGGAAGAGTGTTTACTTGAAACAGAAGAAGAAAAAAAGAGAGTTATAGCTCCAGATCCTTGCTCAAACACAGCCACCCCCCGCCTGCCCCCCACCAGCTCTGCAGTTCCGCATTCCCCATGGCAGAGCCGCCCCGAGCGGGACAGGGGCACAGCACACTACGGCTTCCCCCTCTCCATCGCTCATTTTTGGAGCCTTTGGAGCCAGCCTCTCCAGTTGTTTGGTTTCTCTTTGTATGAAAGGCTTTCGAGTGTCAGAGCCATTTATGAATGGGAATGGGCTCTCACACAAACGGGTGAAAAACGGTCCAAAAAAAACCCATTCTCCCTTTCCCCACACTCCTGGAATTTCTTCTTGGGTTTGTTTTTTATTTGACTTTTCCACTCTCAAACTGAAATCGTGCATTTCGGGATGGAGCTGCAAGGCAGGCACGCCACCGTGCCAGACAACGAGGGAGACCTCCTTGCACTGCTGCTCGCGGTATGAGCTGCATCTCAGCTCTCTGATGCAACATAAATAGTGCAGACAGGGGCCTCTGCACTCCTAAGCACCCACTGTGCTCTGCCTGGAAACTGCCTTGAGAAGTCATGAAAACCTTTAAGACATCAGGGTTTCTTAATTTGCCCTCATTTATGCACTCTTCAAAGTGTCAGACCAGAGCAAAAAGCACTGACAACTTCTGTCTAAGAGCCAACATGCCTTAATGCAAAATTATTTTACGGGTTTCCTGAATTACAGCAATGGGCATTAAGGCAGCGTAATTTGGGCCAAGAGCATTATTATACATTTTAAATACTAAGAGGCAGTTCCTGTCTCTCTAGATTAAGGTGGAAAGGGGAGACAGAAGCAGATGTGCGACTTGCTGAAAGTCCCATTTCACGTGATGGGGGCAGAGCCAGGAGCAGACTCCAGGTCTCCTGAATCTCTGATGAGAAATTGGCTACAAGAGACGGGAAGGAAGCAGCATGGTCTGAAACTGTCCACCAGACAAGTCAGGAGACTGACCGTCAAGCACAGGATACTCAGCACTGTACTTCCAAACGCAGCATGTTCATATGTATTGGGGCTAAAAATGCAAAGTGATTCTACAGACAAATAATTAGCATCCCTGCCAAGAGAGAGGTAAAGAATTCATCAGCCATTAAAACAGCATCCTGTGAAATGAAAATCCTAGAACAAAAAGCAATTAATCGAACCATTTCCTGAAAGGAAACGCTATCACAATGCCTCCCTTTGGACCAGATTTAAGAAATCCTGAAAATTAGATGACATCCTTGCTCCCTAAGCGTGCCTCTGACTCTCCTCAGGTTACATAGGTTAATTTTCTTTAAAGAGGAGTCATCTCCTCTAGAAGTTTGTGTTTAAGAGATTTCTATAGATAGCTGATCCACAGCCAGCAGTGGGAATAGGGGGAGACGACCATGAACTGACAACATGGAAATTTATAATGAAAATTTTCACCATAGCTGTTCATTCCAAATAAGTGTCGTATTTCTGTTCATGATGAATCAACCTGAATTGTGTGTTCCGGTTTAAGCCACTGCTAACTAGGTTACCCAGAGTGTAATGCGATGCTTTTCCCTGTTTCACACTGCTTCCTACACAATTCCGTCTCCAGTCCGTAATGGAGCAGCATTATCATCTTCGTTCAGCCTATTTATGCAATTAACACCTACAACCCCAACTTCGTTCTAGTCTTAATATAAATACTAGTTCCCTAATCAGAAACAAAAAACCATCATGGCTTTATGTTTATGCAGAAAATTCATTGTGTGGAAAGGCAAAAGGGAGCAGGGGAAATGAAGGAAGCTACTTGCGAAATAGACACCCCAAATGTCTTCTTTCCTCTAATCTCCTACATAATTTTCATGGGAATAAGGGAAAAAAAAAAAAATCACCAAAACACAACACTGGCTCGGTAGCAGGAGCAGTCAGTGCTCACGTGATGCACATGTCCCTGCTGGGAACAAGGAGAGGACCAAGCAGGCTGGCAAACACCCCACTGTCAGTCACCAAGGCTGAGCCAGGGACCATGTGCCAGGGAAGCACCCTTGCCAGGAAACCTGGAGAAGCAGCACTTCCAATCCACCTCCACAACTCTGGCTCCATAAAAAGTGGGTTTACAACAGTCTGGCAAGATAGGTTATAGCTGCACTCACATATCCAAACCCCAGCAGAACTTTACAATGCCATTTACTCTGTCCTGTCTTGGATAAGGTACTCATTGCAGGAGAATTTCTTTGTCACTACACTGGCTGGTGCAACATGCACAATTAAGAAACTGTTTTAACAGAAGCTTTTGTAAGTGTTACAGGGTTCCTATTAAGACAAGAGAAAGTAGAAATACATTCTTTGCTCCAGGAAGTAATCAAAGTCAAACTTGTTCATTTATAGGCTGCAGCATATCACGCTTAGAGAGTATCTCCCTTCAGAGGGATGGGGTCCCTGTGGCTCCCGGAGTGATGCTTGCCCAGGATGAGCCACTGCAGGGTGGGGAAGACTTCAGTAACTATAAAGGAAGAGAGAAAGGAGGAAGGGATGGAGGAAAGAAGACCGAGAAACAGCTCCTCCCAGTAATCAAAAGCCTTAAACATTTTCTGGGTAGCCTGGTTTAGGTTGTTCCTGTATTCCCTTCAGGAACAGTCAGTAGGGGAATATACTTCAACTGTCTTCAGCATCCCAACCTCCACAAGCATTTTTAAATGAATTATTCCTCAATGGCACTCAGGATGCCCACAACATTGCCAATATGTTAGGTTAGGATGTGGGTTTTTTCCCCCCAAAGGGGATACAATAGAACAAGACAGGCAACACCAGAGAGAGAGCAGTTGTACCCACTGCCGTGGGTGCTGCCACATCCCTGCCAATTAGTTCAGGTCAAGCTGTAACACAGGACACAGCATCGTACTGAAGCGCAACAGGCTGCTCAGTGTGAGGCATGCCAGAGAAGAGGGATGCAGAGTGGCACGAGTTCCCCAGCAAGCTCACATGCACACTGCAATGACCCTGACATTACAATCCCTCTTTCAAAAAGCCTCTTCAGCCCAGGAAGGAGAAGCAGAGAGCAGAGGATAGGGTAAGGCTGATGTGCCAGGTAAAGTTCCCCTTCCTATCCCCCAAAAAAGCAGAATTAGTGTTTTGGTTTAGCTCCAACTTGCGAGCCCTCCCCAGAGCAGAGCACATGAGAGATTGCTGCTGAAATAAGAGTTTGCTTGCCTCTCCATTTCTTTTTGCCTCGAGTCCGTTTCCTGGTTAAAGTCTTGAGGATACCCCTCCTCCTCTCCATAGGGCTCCACTTTATAATCCTCCCGCTCCTCACCTCAGCGGTTCCCTTCCCAGGGCTGGGCAGGAATGTCATCGGAGCTTGTCCATGCTCCTCACAGCTGGCACTATTAAGTGACACAGTTGCACCCTATCCCCCTCACCAGGCAGTGAGGAGGAAGCATCATTCCTCCCGCTGTACTCAGAGACCAGCAACTACTGTGAAAGCCTCCTAAACAAGACAGCGGAGTGCCCGTTCCAAGCAACGTCTTCCTCCTCCTCCTCCTATGTTGCAACAGCTAAGACCTATGATGGTTTTGCAATAGCCAAAAATTAAAACCACCAACCGGACTCCAAAAATAAAATCATCTGGATATGGAAATCTGAAACTCCTGATCTTTGCCAGAGTACTCTGTTGTTATCAGGCTATAAACATGTCTGCTCTTTTAATCCATACAGCACACAGGCTTTTATATAGCCCTTTTATGATTATCAATCGAGTGTTTACAGATTCTGACTAAATGAATTAGTACTGGGCTGGTCAGTGGAAGCTTTGCAGAAGCAGCCAAAACCACAGAAACGGTCAGCGAACGCCATGAGGATGACTCATGGCTGAACAACCAGCTGGCAGGTAGTCCAGCCCCACTGACCTGGGCACAACGGCTGAGGACACGTGCAAGGTCTGCACACAGGGCTGTCTGGCAGAAGGCAGCCCCCAGTGTCGCAGCTTTCCATACAATAAAGTCGGCGCGTTGCACTTTTCTGCTCATAGGGAGGAGTAACTGTGGTAGCTTGGCTCTAGAGCTGTGGTTTCTTGTTAAAGCCAATTCTTGAAGGGTAAGCCTTTACTTATCTCTGGAAAACTCCTTTTGTGGAAGGAAGAAAATACCCAGAATAGCAGCAGCAAGCCTACTTAAAATCCTCAAATCAGTCTATCCCCTCACAACTATCATATGCCCAGCTCTAAACACAGGGATTTTCTTCCCCTTAAGACATTACCCCTTTTCTTTCTTATCAGAAGGACCATGTCGCTGTGCTAAATAAACATATTACAACTGCATACTTTGAGCCTTCCACCAGTGATCTATCCCCAAGTACTTTAAGACAGAGAGCTTAGGTTTGCCTAAAAACTGGGTTAAGTGTCTACTGCACACAAGATAAAGAACAGGCTTTACCACATAAAGCACACGAGATTACACAAGAACTCGCAATCTTACATGGGTCTGTAAAAAGCAGTTCCTAAAATAACCAGTTCCTAGAGTAAGCAGTGGGATGAGACTGATGAAACCTCCTACAAATCTCCCTGGGAACAATATAGATTTAGACCAAAACAAGGTTTCTAAGCCCAAGATCTCTCTTCTATTCAATGGGGGCTTTTTGTCTCCTATTTTTGTTTATTCCTTGTTCTGGGTTTTGTTCTTAATGTGCCCTAAACAATCAGGCCTTTGATTCATCTCCTGGTTAGCCCTGCACCGCAGCCTGTCACTCCTCAGCCCCTTTCCCATTTCCCAAAAGGCAGACTGTAATTGCACGTCAGTTATTCTTAGTGGTAAAAGGCAACTCACGTCTTGTGGCAACAGGAAAGGGGAGTAAGTCCAGTCCAGTCTCCAGGTCTTAGCAATAAAACAGCACTGGCAAAAATCCCTTTGCTTCATTACTGATGATATACATATTGGATAAGCCTATCAAATGGGTTAACACAGTATCATTTCTGCAGCTCTCTCCTGAGCTCAGCCAGGTAGCTCCTTTGTGAAGAGCAAAGCAATTCTGTTATGCTTTCAGAAAAAGAGTTTCAAAGCAGGTGACATCCCGCAGTTAGGCCAAGATGGGACTAAAAGCAGAAAGGCATTTGTCAGTTGGAATCCAACAGCTTTAGTAATTCAGAACGCACAAAGCCAGAGAAGTTTGGCCTAAAACCTTGTCCAAATCCAAAAGAATGCCTGAGAATAAACCAAGGTTGAGCACCAAGCACCCAGAGACGGCCAGGTCATGTGCAAACTCTCTCACATGAGGTCAGCAGCCACGATTAATGTACAAGAAGTTTCTCCATAACTGAGCATCTATACGTACACTTTCTTAACTCCACAGCACTCATGTGCTCTGCAAGACTTTCAGTACATAGGGCAGTGGCTTCCTTGCAGAGTATCTAAAATCTTTCTTGTTATCTTTCTGGCTACACATGCAGAAATCTGGCACAGATGGGAACTCCATGAGCTGCATTAACTCCCTCCTGGTCCCCTGGATTGCTACTACAAGCCAACAGCATGAGTTGCCACTAAGAAGGGAATATGACCCAAAATCACAGAAGCCGAAAATTAACCTGATGTCTGGATTCATTCCCCAACATAAGGCACACACATTATTTTCTAGGACTTCTAAGAAAGAAGACCTGGATAAGCTTTCAAGAGATGGGACAAATGGCATCTTTAGGGTAGACTGTGGCTTCCAGCACTGGAGTATGTGTCTGACACACAGCTAAAACCAGCAGCAAAACACAACCCCTGTGGGGGAATGTGTCAGGAACGAGCTTGGCCCATGGTAAATGGCAGGCGCTCTCTCAAGTGAGTGCTCCAGTTCAGTTCTTCCTTCTTTGCAGTCCTCGGCAGCATTTCCAAATAAATCCTGACAAATGGATAAATTTAGTGCTGACCTTTGCCAAGGAGCTTGTTAAACCCAGGATTTTTTTAAATTTCATTTTTGATCTGCTGGGTTTTAAGACGGAGCCAAGAAAAATGAGAGGGTGAAAAGAAAAAAAAACAAAGTGGAGTCTTCTTTCCACTCCTTCTTGGAAAGCTGGCTCTCTGAGCAGTGATTCCAACCAAGTAGGTTACAGGTAGCAACAGTTAAGAATACTTAAGTATTTTGCACACAAATCTGTTAAACTGCTTGGAGATTTTCACACAGCTGCTAGACACGCTCTTCCACTAGGATGAAGTCACCTACATATGCTGGCATTTGCTCTAGTCCTGCTCAGCAGTGCTATGAATTCACGTTACTCCACGTGGCACAAAGCAGGCTAGCCAAGGAACTTAATGGTAATTGGAGTGCCCCAAATTAGTGCCCCACTACAGCACCTCTCAGGATCTGGCTGCATGGCACCCGTCTTTTTCCAAAGTACGTTATTAAACCATTTTTAATCCTTAGCTAGAGTCTCCACTTCATGGAGCAGGTATACGCCCTCAAATGGGGCTCAGGAAAGATGGCTTCTGTTTTAGTCCCTAACCCCCAGCCTTGGACACAGATATGTGCTATGCAGGTAAAGATCATTTTCAGATTTAGGTCTGCTCCATTAGCCTGCCACATTAGGATATAGCCCATGGCAGGTCTGGACTGAAGAGTAGCCCTGTTGGAAACTGGGGATTAATTTAGATGCTAAGTAGAACAAAAGGCCATGTGAACTGGAGCAGCATGGAGGGGGCTAAGTATCTGCCAGATATACTGGAAGACCTCTGAGCAGGACTGTGTATCAACACTCACCTTCTTGAGCACCATGCAATGCAATTAATCACTTGCATTTGCCCCATAATCATACACAGACTGTTTTTGAAGCCAAACTAGCAACATGCATTTAGCCAAAAGCAGTCAGCAGAAGGGTTCCCCCAGCCAGGTAATCTGAGGGCTTCTTGTCATTCTTCCCAAGTGATACCACCTCTTCTGTCTCCTCCTCACCTCTGCTCAGTCTCGTTCTGTTTCTCTGCCTGAACTCCCTGGTGACCTATCAACCACCAGGCTCCTGTGACTAAATACTTCACATATTTCTGCACTTTTATACCCTACTACCACCCTGAAATTAAACCTACTCTGCTAAGATCAGGCAGAACTTCCCCCCAGGGATATAATCAAATCTGTCAAGGACAACATTTCTGAAATCACAGCAGTCTTGCTTATTAAAAATCTCAGACAAGCAAGCACTCGGCCACCGAAGTTGGTGGGATTTTGTTCACATATTTTGAGCAGGGCATGAACTTGAATATTTACCAAAGCAGGCATTGAAAGCAGCAGGAGTGTTTATAACTTTCTTTGCCTCGAGACCTACATGTGGCCTTAACCAACTGCATGACCAGGCCAGCATCCTTTACAGACACAAGGTCTATGGCTCATGATCAGTTTTCCTATGTCTGAAGGAAGACAAGACCTCTTTCCTGGTACTCCACATCAGGTGAAAAATGTTTGCAGAAGAAATCCACTGGTTACTCAGGAGAAGTCCTGATTTCTTATACTATAAGGCTTAGTTTCCTCCTTGTATTGGACTACTATTACCAGAACCTGATGTCACTTAGAAGCTGTTTCCCTGCTCCCTCCTCCTTTCCAACATCTTGTGACAAGGAATCTGAAGCTCCTGTGAAAATTTAGCATCTTCCTCAGTCATATGTTTTCTATATAACCCCCTTCATACTTACTGCGGAAAAGCAAAACAGCATCTCAGAAGAACAAGCAGCACATAGTTATATTTCTGTCCTTTATCTTTATTCACAAAATTTCTCACTTTTGCGGTTCTTCTATCCTCCATCCCACATGGGATAGTGAGCGAGCAGCTGTGCAAGTATTTGTGCAGAGTCAACCCACACAAGAGGCTTTGGATTGTGGCTTTGAGTTGGGCAAGAAAGATGCAACACAACAAACTACCCCTGCTACCAGCAACACCATGGTGAGGCAGCAGTCAGAAAAGCAAAGCTCTTACTTATCAGAAATCATGCATTGTGAAAAACAATATATAGGTAGACAACAAGGTAGACAACAGATCCTGGATATCCACTGTCAGAAACCCACATTCAAAACAACTCCAAAACCACACACAGTTTGAACTACAGGCTTCTCTTTTTAATGGCATGCAGAACACCAAGACAAGAAATTACCTGGAGTGACACTCTTTTTTGGAGTCTCAGACAAACTGGACATCCAAACTTGGAATCCAAGAAGAGGGCAGATATGAAAAGAGAAAGTAATTAGAGAAACAAGAAAACAGTCATATCAGAAAGTCTGAAAGTTAGTCTAAGACAGCTTTGAAAGGAACATTAAGTTTTTCTTAAGAGTGGTGTTGGCATAATGGGGACTCACTTAAAGGTCAAGTCCTAACAACTATCCAGTTAATTTTTGTTTTAATTTAATGCAGGACTTATGAAACTGATCTTTAGTGATCCAATTTTGAGATCTCAGAATAAGATATACTCTGAGCTAATTCCCAGTAGGACAGGAAATGCATATCAAGAGACAGTTTGACTTATTAAGCCTCAGACCTGCAAAAGTATTTAGCTTTGCAGCTGTTAGCAATCCCCAAAAGACCAACAGGCAATTCACAGAGATTGAGCTTAGTAAACACATGCAAGTTTCTACAAGTGTTTTGTTATACCCTGGAATAGCATTAAGGAAAACAACAATAGACAAGCAATGCTCCATGGAAAAAAGTACAAAGCTCCAATAAAGGTACATTCAAAGCATCACTAGAAATACCACTTTCTTTTAGCCAATGAATACGGCACAGAAACCCAATTAAGGAGAAAGCTAACAGAGTTGCTACCAAGAAGGTCAAAAGATTTCCCTCCCCCTCCATGAAATGAGGTGCAAATACTTGGGTTGGGATTCTGGGAATAATTTTCAAACGTTGAGTGCTTGGGTTTGGGTTTTTTTGTTTCAATACACTGGAAGCATGTTTCACAATTTAGCAGGTTTGCCCCCTTTCTAAATGAAAACCGCAAACACTCCTCTTCTTGGAATGAGGGTGCAGAAGGGTAGCTGTTACTTTCACATTGCCTGGGAGAAGAGACAAGGATAGGCTAAGAACTTCCTGCATTGTGACAAAAAAAAACCAAAACAATTTAAAAACTCATCTGCAATGGGGAACCCAGTTCTGGACCCACCAATTTAACAGCACAGAAGATGCACCCTTCAATCACCTAGAGAGAGGGGAAAGCTGTATTGGTGGCCTCCTCTGCTAGACTTGCTATTGTCTTTTGACTTGCAGAATTTCGTCAAGTCAGCCAAAAATCAGTAACAGATTCCTAGTACGTACGTAACAGAAATTGCTAGCATGATACAAAGCATAAGAAACAGCTTTCAAACCTTCCCACTGGAAACCAGAGGTCCAAGAAACACATTACTGCATTTCCTCAGCTCAATGGGAATGGTGAGGTTTTGAAATCCTTTCTTTAAATCAGACACGCAATTTTTACTGTGTTAGAGCAAAACTGTAATTCAGATGGATTCAGTATTTCGTTTACTTTTCAGTAAATCCCCCAGCAATGCCTACTCAGGGAAAAACCTGAAATCTTCCAACCACCTAAGTCCCAAGCCCATGCACTGCACTGTCACAATATAGTACAAAATGCACTGTGGTAAATCACATTAATTTACTTTGGATAACCATTTAAGACTAAAAGAAAAAGCTTTGCATTGGTAGAGTGCAACAGGAAATCATCTGGCAGAGTAACTTGTGCTTTAGCTGATAGAGGGAACATACAGCATGTTTCTATTACAGACTCAGGGCACACACTGGAAAGGGTGTGAAGGAGTTGTTGTCAGCAACTTGTCTACTGGCTTTTGAATAGACTTCCACTGCCTTCAGGAACAGGATTATGGACTTCAGTCAGCAGTCAGATCTTTTTCCAGACAGAACCACCCGAACACGGCAGTGATAAATAAAGCAGAGGATGTACTGCAGGAGCAATTGGGAAGATTTCAAACAGTTTGCCCCAATCCAAGCTGGCAACAAAAGGCTGAAACAGCCAACAGTTAAAGACAGAGACAATGAACTGTGCTTAACACAAGCGTGGGGCTACCCTGCATCTTGTATGGCCAAGAATAGAGTGAGTTTAAACTTAGATCCACAGTAGCCATATCTACAAATGCCCTGTGTGAGTTCTCAAGGAATCAAGCTCACCATAAAAACCAATTGTTAGATACTAGCCTTTTTTAAAATTAATTTTTAAACAAAGTATTTTTTTCCTTGCCAAAAACCATTGGTCTAAACCACAATAAAAGGTCAATCTAAGGATCAATTGGTAAACAATCCCACAGGTCCCCAGCATGGGCTCCCCAGCCCAAGAAGCAGCATAAAAGCAGCAGCACTTCTCAGCTGCCCCAGCCTGACAGCAGCTCTATGTGGATGAGGTTGCTTCTGAAGCAGAAGACAGCTAGCATATTTCAGCTGCTCCTGCACATCTGCTTAGCATTAAACTTCCTTCTTGGGGATTTTTTTCTTTATTCCAAGACGTTTCAGCTCTAATTGCTACCAGCTTCTAAGAGTCCCCCCTACAAATAATAAAAATATCATACATTAGTGATGGATTCCACTTCACAGGGAGCTCAAATGAAGAGCCGCGAAGGGAGCCAGGGTACGGGGAGGAGGTCAAAGGCCCCAGAAGCACACTGTGCCCGAGCCAACTGAACACAAGCTTTGAACAGCCCCTGGCTTCCCCTTTAGGACAGAGTTTTACTGGAATTCTGCATGGGGCTTGGAGCTGGTTTCCAATGGGATTGGTAATGGTAAATGAACAAACCCTCGCTTCCTGCCTCTCCTCTCCCCTGTTGCAGCATGGCCAAGCACCAGCTGGTCTCAGATGACTTGGAGGTGGGTGGGTAAATCTCAGTATTTGGAAGGGAAATTAAAGTTGCCTGCTCAAAGAAAGCCACTCCTAAGGCAACAGCATCCCAGTTCTGCTCCTAACACCAGCCTCTACAGCCCTTGCTGTCAGCTTCAGCTGGAGCCAGAACAAACCCCTCTGATCAGAATTATTTTTAAAAGCTCAAAAGAAACACAGGTCCATAAATTCCAGCTAAGCCGCAGGGCTGAGGCGGTTGTGAAGAGCACAGAGGAGGCTCCCTTTGGAGCCGCGCTGCACAGAAATAGCAACAGAGCAGGCGTGTTGCTAGAAACGGCCACTGAGCCCCATCCCATCCCAGCTGCCACCACAGAGGTGGGCAACCCCAGATGGGCTCCTCAGGTGGGGAAGCAAAGGAAGATGTTGGGGGGGGTGGAAAGGCTTTAAAGACATAATTAAGCTGGTTGCTGTGGTGATAGAAACACATGAAATGGAGTATTTTAGATTTCACCAGAATCTTTTCTGCTGCCAGTGAAAGCGGTTGTTTTGCTGCTCCTCCCACCACTGGCAAGAGGATAGGCGCCAGACTGCTGGGGACTAACACTTTACGCTGGCAATACAGCTCCATTCATCTCATTTTAGCAGCAGACTATTTGTCTTGTGTGCAGTCAGAACAAAAGCGAGCTTCAAGGAAAAGCTACAAAACCTAGAGTCAGTCCGGAGTCAATACATGAGCACAGGGCTACCGAAATCCAGGAGATGCCGCATTCATGGTTCACATCAGTACGGCACTTCCAGCTGGGTCCCTGGCCCAGCAGGTGCAGAGAAACTCCTCCATAGGCATTTTAGCAGTAGCTGCTGATGCAGGTTTCTTTTTGTCAGTAACAGTGCTTAAAATGCTCAGCTCAGTGTTGAGTCCATTATGTATTACTGCTGTAAAGGCCAAAAGGAACACCTTCCTAAACATTCAGAGCTTGCACCTAACAGGGGCTATCGGGGTCCTTTATAATAAACTTTTTTTATACCTAGTGTCTGTATAGCTGTCTAGCCTGCTAAACTACATATTTCACGACAATACTCCTCTAGTAATTACCCAGAGTTGGATCATACTGCTTATGAGTCTTAGCGTGGTTGTCATTCTGGCCATGTAGCCCTTGCCACAAATGATTTCTGTGCATAGCAGAGAAGTTAATATGGGCCAAAGACAAGTCCCCACAAGTGATCTGGATGTGGCTACCTTGCTTTGGATGGTAAAAGCAGTTCAACTATACAGGCATGACCTGTCCTATGGAAGTTGCCTTTCACAGAAGAAAACAGTCCTAGGTCCATTTAACCAATCAAACACTTTGGTTCTTATAAAGCCCTGTCTTAAACATCACTTGGAAATACTGAAATTCCCCCAGCAGCTATTAAGGTGCACCTTAAAATACTGAGAAAAGGATGATAAGAACAGGTGGCCATGATGAAATGCTAATATCTGAAAGAGACTGCCCCTTTCCAACAGTGATCAGTTCTCTAGGTCATTAGTCCTGTCCATGAGGAGGTAGTAGTGGCTCAGTTATTCAAGGACCACAGTGGTGAGTGCAGCTGAGCATTTTGCAGATTCATTTCCCAGACATAAACCCTTCCTGTCTTTATTGGAAGGGTGGAAAGAGACTAAGCAGTACAACCTTAGACTGAAACTATACTGGCTTCCTGGGAGGTCAGTGTTCCACCCCAGAGAACTTGTGGTCCAGTAACTGGCTGGAGCTGGGGGAAGTAAATACTGCTTTTACTCAACACTGCTCAAATAAAAGGCATTAAGAGAAGAATGGTGGTGTTCTCATCCCAACAGTGTTATTTGATAAGTCAGCAAGAGCAGGCTGACTAAGCTGTTCCTCAGAAGTATTAATTTCTTAGAACTGGCCTAGAGCCTTGGTCACTAATGTTTGTCACATATGGCAGAACAGAAAATAGAAATTAAGCCTTTATTTCAGTCTAGATTTTGAAGGCCAAGCCTGCCAAAAAGCTGCTATAAATGAAGTGCCATGTTGTTGCCCTAGGTGCTCAGGGGAGACACCTTACTGCTTAGAGAAGATAAAGAACCCCCAGGGGCCAGGCTCAGTCTACTCAATCCTTCTTCTGACTCCTCCAGAGATTCCTCCTGGGATTTTGTCTCCAGTTCTCCCCTTATCACTTCCCTTCTGCTCTCTTCAGACAAGCAGAGGAGCAACCTCTTCCCCCTGACAAGGTGAGGATGGCAAACCATGCACTCAAAAGCAGGAAGATCCATGAAGAACTCCAAAACTGTGAGGCCTGTTTCTGCTCCCATGCACAGAGAGCACCATGGTCAGTGTTTCCCCATATCCCTGTGAACCATTTCCAAA